AGACCGATAACCTTAACCAAAAATCAATAATGAATTATAATATTGGCCCCGAAAGCTTTACGTATTATGCGATCGAACTTTGTTTTGCAGACCACAGAGGGAGGTTGTATGCATGCAATGTACAATTTAAAGCTCGCCTTCAAGAAACACACATCACGTGGTGAGCCCAAGATGTTTTACTCTTCAAACTGCAACTTCCTGTGATCTGCGATAACACATGCTACCAAGTTCAAGGGATGCTGCCCTCGTGCTAATGATCATCACACTGGACTTGCAATCCAGAGGTCACAGGTTCGATCTCCCGGAGTGGCAGTTGGAACAACGGGCACATTTTCTTAAATTCGCCACCCACCCCCGCTTCTGTCTTACCCAGGTGTCACATTTGGGTATGCCACAGTTAGTCGATCGGCGGTGGATGTCAAAGAGCTGCAAATTATTTCGTGTTTTTTGTCAAGAAGATGACCTCCTAATGATCCGTTTATATTTTGTTGCGATCGCATGACTAAATGTAACCGTGTTGTGGTACATTTTTTCATGCTCAAGAGTATTTTGTTATGTCAATCTTATATTAATAAACTTTAACTGTCAGAGCAGGCCTCGGCCAAATTAAAGTCAAATAACCAACTAATAATGTTTTCCCCCCACTCCCCTTCCCTCTAATATTCACTGGTTACCGGTTTGAGGTCATAAAGCTCACTATACGTGATGATTTGGTTCTAATCGCGGGCAGCCGCTATGATTTGCACATCGATTCTCGGCAATGCAGGCTCTCCACACCGATAAAGGCATCATCCCCTTAAGCAAATCAGCCACTTAAAATGTTTAATCATCTTGACGACCATAATCAGCTCCCACTCTGCTCGTACATGCTGTGCGTATGAATATGCACACATTAGACGCACAGTTACGTGCGGCTGAAATTGAATCTCTCCAATGTTATAATTAACCGTGGGCATATCCATTGGATCATCCGCAATAATGTCGGGACAAAATGAAGCATCTCTGAACCTAAATCATCATAACATCCAGGATTAACATTGCAATGTAAAATATTTAAATAAAGGTAAATATGCATAATACTGTCATGGCTGTTTTTTTGAATTATAAATCAAATTTGCTTTTATTGATTTCATCAAATAATTTTTGTATTTTTACGAAAATTCTTCAGTCTCCATCACAGTGTATATACTTAAACATGTGTATCACATGTGCAAAATAATAGACTTGCTAAATAATTAACGAATTCAGTGTCTCTGATTGTGGCCACAGGTCAAAGTGAAATTTGGTAAAATAGTAATAATAACGGAAATAAGTTCAAATGTGTTCAACCACCACTGGACGAAGACTTCTCCCATAATTTGACCATACTTCTCCACGTGGGTCAAAGCGGATTGGTGAAATAGGTTTGGTGGGGGAAGGCCAATTCAGATATCAGTCCCCACCTGATGCTAGCCGTGGCCAGGAATCACCGCACCCAGCATGATCTTACTCCTTCGTGACTGAGGAAATTACTACAATGCACTGTTATGCAGGATGAGTCCCCATTCTTCTTCTTTCGTATGGCTGATGCATATGCAGAGCAACAACTTACAATTTCATATTCAGGTGGCCAGGCCAGGATCAGCGGAGTGCATCGCTGTGATGTCTCCTTCGTATTTGTGGATCGGCCATTGCGTCGTTGTACGTTGTACGGTCTCTGTTCTGGATGAACACAGTCGCACACTGGGGAGTTTCTTATTTTTCCATTTGTGCATCGGGTATTCGCATCATCCATGGTTTCTGGTGATGTGGTTGAGGCTGGACCACGAGCTTCGTGGATGATTAAACCCAGGGATGTTGTGCGTTGGGTCTTTCACGAGGTGTTTGTTTGTGAGTTCTTTTGAACTCCATTCAGGTCTCCACGCTCCATTGGGGTTGAGCTCCATCGATTGACACCGTTTATTTTATTTGAATTGAGGACCTCCCATCCTACCGATTAATGACGATGGCCCTTCTAATGTATGTGCGCACGCCGGTGCGTTCCATCGTGAACTCTGTCATCTCTCTGCCTCCAATAACCCTCCTGGTGAAAACGCATACTTGCAGGCATCACACGCCGACTGCAAATGTGCCAGAAAATGTAAGCTTTTGGCAACAAAAGTGAAGGCGCATTAGCCACGCGTACAGTGTCGCCTTGTGACACGTAATCCCCACGAGCGCCAATCACAGAGAAAGCCACCGCAAGGAATGCCGCGGCCGTGTTTACCTGGATTACAATCAAGGTGCACACTGCTACCGCACTTGCCAATGACAATACCCTGATGGGAAGCGTGGTCGCAGACAAAAATTGAAATTCTACGTCTCCGCTGATTGCATTTAGTCTGTCCACTGTCACCTTGGAACACGGCGCTGTGATAAAGAGGCTACGTGCACATCGAGCGGTTCGGATAAAAAGCCATGTAATGGTTATCGTACTCAATCTATGTCCCATTGCGGGAGTTGAAACAACGGAGCAAAAGTTGTTCTTGTTATTGTTATTGCCCGATCTTTGTCCACCCAGCAGCGTAAATGAATACACCGAAGTTAAATGGATATGCCAACGTTCATCGATCGGCGGGTTGCGTGCGGTTGAGCCAGGTGTGGGTATCTCCCACGTCTGCCAAGACGTCAGGCTCGCATGGAAGAGTAGGCCAAATACGCTGTAGAGTGGCTCTCTGGGACTCCCTCTAGTGGAGGCCCTTTTGCCAGCAGTGGGGAAACAAGCAATTGCAGAGCTGCAACTTTACCAACTTGACCTCGCTCGTAATGAATGAACAAATTTGGCATCAGGAGTAGACAACTGGAACACAATGGTCGACTCTTTTCAACGGAACATGCTGTTTACAATCCACCCATTTCATAACCAACATTCTGTGGAACATTCTCTTCAGGAATGATTTGGGTGGGGTGGCTGTGGACACGACATCTTTCAATCTGGCACCAGTGGCCGCTAAAGGCTGCCCAAATCAATGCCCCCCATCGTCTCTTTTCCTAAGGTCTGATAACCTGGTTTAATTCCAGAAACGTATGAACCCATACATGTACAACTGTTACAACTCGAATATGGCCTCCTGTCGCGTTAGGACTTTGGGCCTTTGCTCGGCAAACGTGATAGAAAATAAATTCAGACATTACAAAAAAAGCTGCATATAAGCACAACTCATGAGCACATTTCCGAAAAAAACGACAATATCAGATTACATTGGCGATGGGAAACTTCTGATACAAGTACACGTTGGATATAAGCACAACTGACCTTACTCCAAAGTGCCGTGCTAATAGCCAGCTTTCTACTGCATGTACACGTGAGTTATCTTTGTGTGGTGGTTAACCTCATTTACCCCCGTAACTGCAGGGGTGGTAACTAACGATGAATGGAGTGCACTGCTACACAGCTTTGTATTTACATGTTCGTTTTTGCACAGCAACGCACGCTGATTTTGACAACCATACAAAATCTAGCAAATGTCCACAAAAGCGGTATTTACCCAATAGTATACGTTATTTTTAATTACATACAGATGTATTTTATGAACCTTTGTGTTCCTGCCAAATAATTGATACGGAAGTGGCCTTGCATGGCATTATTGTGCACATATTTGTAAATGCTTTTTGTTATTAATAATTATTTTGGCTGGGCCCTTGTGTCAGCACGATGTGTATGCATTCGACTTGGTGACTGGGACTCGCCTCTTTAAATACTGGTCCAAGGCTGCTATGAGCAAAACGTTCATCTGCAAAGCCCATAGGCCAAATTAGATATATATTTATATTTTTTTACTTTGACAATGAAAACAATGTCCCGTTAATGAAACAACAAATATGTTGTAGATAAATAGGACAGTTATGTGTGCAAGTGTAAGACAAACAATGGCAAATATCACCCGAAAAGCTTTTAACAGACTCCTTAGGCAAGTGAAAACCTAATAAAGGCTGACACAGCACATGAGAGGGTAGGTGGCCAGCCATCCGCGTTTGTCTCCCACGTGCTGATGTTCACGCACCACACTCAGGTACTCATTTAAGGCCGAGTCAACCTCGGGGAGGCGCCCAGGACAGGTTCAGATAATCGTCACCGATGTAGGCTGCGAGCGGTAATGAAACTCTGATTACCGGGTTCGCGGCCTAATGCGCTAACCACTACGCCACCTTCTTGGTTCTTTTGGTAAAGTCACGTAGAATGGAAATAATAAAATAATAAAAATCAAACATAATAAAATAATAATGTTTTGTTTTTATTATTTTATTATTTCCATTCCACGTGACTTTACCGAAAGAACCAAGAAGATGAATCCCTGCAGTCACGAAAGCTTTAAATCGAAACACTACGCCACCGCGAGCCACAAAAATACATGCAAACAGACGTCTCCAATGCAGGTACAAATGCACCCGTGATAAAAAAAATTTTTTACAAAGGTGTTACCTTGTGATACATTCAGTGCAAAAAAAAAAATCCAATGCTTTTGTAATTTTAAGCACGCGTTATTTAAGACAAGCCTTAAGTTAGGACATGAACAACTGCCTGCATCATATGCGACTGACTACAGATGGAGGTGCACTGCTTGTCTGGCTTTGTATTTACATCTCAATGTTACACAGCGGAGCGCACTGATTTTTCGATCCGTTGGAATTCTAACAAATCATCACGGAGCGCTATTTACTTAGAATAACTGCCTGCATCGTACGCGAGCATTTTAGATTGACGACGCAAGGCAGAAGGAACTTTGTTTGCCCAATAACAGTTATTGACATATTTTTTGAGAGGGTAAGTACAACACGGCCTCATCATATCTCTAAGGCATTTACACAAATAGCTTCCTGTCAAAAGATTAGTAAAAAAAATAAAAGAAAAGGTCACTCCTCAACGATATCCATCTTCAACCAGTATGCCTGCATTCGATCTAGGAAATATCAAGTGAGGCCACACGTGTCATTAAAGTATTCGACAGATTTAAGGAAGAATGAGGAAGATTGCTTCTTACCTTCCCTTCAATAAGAAGCAAACAATGATGAGGACAACTATAATCCCCGTCGCTACGGATAGCCACACAATGGTGCTCTGGCTCGGATCACTCGAGATATCCAGTGCTGCAAAGGAAGACAGAAAGAAACACGCTTTTAATATCCACAATTCAATTACGCGATAAGAGGTACCCGCGTATCAAAGGCAATGCATGTGCTGAATGGTGTTCAGCGATACATTCCACAGTTGGAAGAGAAGGCGTCTCGCAGTGGTAAGCAATTATGACAAGTGACATTTTACTTCAGGGCATCATGGAGGACACTGACATTTTTTAGATTGCTAATCTTGGGTGGCCTGTTATCTAACCAGGCATTAAAAAAAAACGAAGCTATTTTATAATTTACCAGGTAAAGCTCACTTGGGCTATATAGATATGTTTCAGAAGCGACCTGGCTACAAATGATAGCTCATGTGGAATTTTCTAGCAGCCAACTACTCTAAACGCATTTTTATAAATATGGTGGGAACACCGGAGGAACCGGAGCAAATTTCAAACTCCTAATTTTCGGGCGTCAAGGCTTGGAATCGAATCCACGACCTCCTGTACACCCGGTGAGATAGTTAACATCTCACGACCGTGGTTCCAACGGTGGCCTGCCTGTCGAATGGGGGACAGCTTGTGCTATTTTCTTATATTGTAGTGTCAATTTCAAACAGTGTCTGGCACATTTCAAATATGGCATGTGTGTGTATGTACTGCAACTGGGTGAAGTGGTGGCACCATGATTAACGCACTGAGATACTAACCCCGGCAACCTGAGTTCAATTCATCGGTGGTGAATAATACAACGGGATCCGGACCTCCCCTAGGCAGATTTTTCCTGAACAGAGTACTTGATGTGGTGAGTAAAGCAACATCAGCACTGAGAAGACCAAGGTGGCCAGGAGTAGTGCTGGCAACACTACCTTCTTGAGCGCTGTGCCAGCCTACACAGGTGATCGCGAGCACCATTGCCCCAACCATCTCTTCAGGCTATACGAGGGGGGGAGGGATCTTTAACTTAATTTTGCCCAGGGATAGTACAGATGTGCGTCACTGGCGTTGGCCGTGAGAGAGAATAGAGCTCGGCTCGCTCGGTTGGTAGTGCGGTGTGACAAGCACCGTGCTAGGTTGTGATCTGTGCTGGCCTCAAGTGGTGCTCACTGATAGGACTTTCCCAAACCGCCTAGGGAAGGCTGATGGGAAAAATCTTTGTCGGTGTTTGTGTGTGTGTGTGCGCTGTACTGTCGTTTTATGAGACTAGGTAATTTTTTTTTCTATTTGCATATTTAATCGACCTGGAAAACAGGCAGGGCAATTCGAAGCCAAATGTCGGTTTTAATAGATTTACGATCAACTCGCAATAACAGCACAGACTGTAAACAACCACGGGGATGGTGATCGACTGTCCTGGCGGTTTGTTTGGGTCAGCAAAAAACGAGATGAATAAATTACGCAAATGTGATGGAAAACACAGTAGCGGCCCCTTTTCAGTGGCAGCAACGGTTGAGGGAATGCAGGATGTATGCCCAGGGAAGCACAACTCCTGGAGGATAAAAAAAAAAACCAGAGAGTCTAATTTCCACAAAGACTCCACGAGAAAAAAATCATTCAGTTTCAAATTTCACGCACTAACCGCAGGAAGAATTTGCTACTTCACATTTGGCAAGTGTTGGGCAAGTGTCGAACATGCAAGTATTGAGAAGCCACTGGAGCTATGCACTTTTGAATCTAGATTGAAAAGTAATTTCTTTAGAGCAGCTTTTTGTGTATAGTTTGTTGTCCTTCCCCCCGCATCCCCGATTAACACGGTTGGCTACGTACGGTGCGAAAGATGTTCAACATACATACGTACAGGTGCACGGGTTACTTCAACGTTTGATTGGCATGGTTAGTTCTCGAATATTAATTGGACCTCAGTCCAACATATCAAACTCTGGCAGTGCCACCCACCTATTCCCATAATCTACACGCCCCACTGCCAAGACTTTGATGTGGAAAAGAGCCAAGCCCTGTGAATTTCTAGTGGTGGAATGTGCACTGCGGGTATGACAAATTGTTTCGTGATGATAGGACAAAGGCCGTTTTAAACATGACTACTCCTCATAATAATCAGTGCTTTGTCAATCCACCGCTGTAAGTCTGTATAACGGTCTACCCACTCCATTGGCGATTATTTAATCATACCTCACCATGCTGATCAGAGCGCATTGGTAGAGAACGACTGGTTCAGGTATTACTCGCCACCGATGTCGTCCGTGTGACGGCTATCGAACTCATGTTTCCGAGTTAATTGCGCAGTGCGCTAAGCACTGCACCACCACTCCCCAGAATAAAGTCACATACGTACACTCCAGCTCTCAGCATGGCTGGATAAAGCAATGCTGTGGCCGACCATGATGGAAAAAAAACAACGTGGTCCTTGAGGAACTTCAGCTTAAATGCTCAATTATCTAAATTTTGAGAAAGGATGTGAATTTAATGTAATAAGCAATATACAGTAAACTGAAAAAAAAATACTTTGCATGTTGCAATTTTTACACGGGAAATTTTCTTTCAATATGCAATATCGCAGGGATTCAATCTCATTAATATCTTAGAAACCGTAAAAGTGGTCCCTAGGATATAGGGGTTAATAGTCAACAGTGGCAATATCCTGACCCGTGACACCACTTACAAATTCTAGCTTGGGATTCCATTTTAACCCAAGTTTTGCTCGAACGTAAATTATAGAGGAATTGGAACACCGTTCACCGATTTTGTGTTTTCAGAAGACAAACATCCGCTTGCAGAATCTTTGAACACGATTTATGTAATAGGCTCCGTACAGGCGCCTGGCAACACTATAGGCATTTAAATCCATGAGAACAAATATGTTGGCAAAGGTAGTTCAAGGTCTAACATGATTTAAATGGCAGATTGGCATGACAAATTGTACACAAGTAGCTGCTCCGGCATAACGGAAGAGAGGGAAAAAATCAAATTGATTGGCTAGCATACGAAAAAACAAGACGATTAAGACCAATAACTATCAGTTTGTCATGTTAACAGCATACATTAACTGAATTAGTGTCCAAGAGTAAATATATAGCAAGGAAATAATAATGGGGAGAAAACTGTGTTTTTTTTTTAAAGGTGTCACAATCAGAGGCTTAACGAAACAAATTTCAGGTGTGTTTGTGCATGTGTGAAATGGCCAATGATTATAGGCTGGAACAGAGAGTATAAGGTGGAAGGATGCCGAGTGACTGCTCTGATTAGTGAGTTCTGCAGCGTGCCAGAAAGAAACATCTTCAAGGTCACAACGGGCAGTGAGCGAGCGAGAAGAACCAAGCCAAGCTAAGCTCCATGGATGTGAAATGTATTTTTTATTATTATCATAGACTGGAGAAAATGAGGTTTGTACTGGGGCAATCCATTAAAATATTCCTTAAATAACAATACTGGCAGAAACGTGATTGGTAGTCAAATGAAGGTTAAAGTTGGCCTCACAAGGAATAAAAATAATGCATATGCATGGACCCTTTAATGCTCTCCAACGTGGATTTGTCCTTAGAAAACATATATACTTTTTTAAAATATAATAAGGTTAATGACATAATTTCGTACTGTTCACAAAAGTAAGTGGATTCAAGCATGGCACGTCTAGAAATCATGCCTGTCATTTCAAGTGAGGGATGGAAGCAGCTGGTGTGCAGACGCTGGGTGAATTATTACATCGCAGGAGCGTGACAGATCGTGGTGGCTCAGGGAGGCCGTCATCCAGCAGTGGATTGACCGTTGGTCGATAACGATGAATAACAATCCAGATTAACAGATAACGTCACGTGGTACGTGAGCTCACGATGTATAATGGTTATAAGGCTCGACTCGCAAATTCGGATGCCAACAATTCTATATCCTGGTGTGATAGTCGAACCAATGGTACAAGTTTCTTGAATTCCCCTGCCTCTGTGCGCCCAGCAGGTATAAATTAATACAACAGAGTCGGTTGGCAGGTCACGTGTGGTGGCGAAAAGTGTGGATATTTGTGGCTGGCATGGAAGACTAGGCAATATACTCCCGAGGGGGGCTCTCTATAATTCCCTCTAGTGGGGGGCTCTTCCACCAGCAGTGGCACGTGCAAGCAATTGCCGTGATGCACCTTTACCATTTACCTTGTCGTGTGCATGTTTAACTTGCAACTGTGCAGTGTGCATTTGGTTGTAAGTATACACATAAGCAGACACAAAATGCATGCAGTTCATATACATCTGCAAGCACAATAGCTTGTTTAATTTTTTATATATTTTTTGTAGTGTAGCTAGGTAGTGAGAGTGATCTACAGTCTGTTTAAAAATGTAATATGTGTGTTTTTGTGTAATAAATTATAATTGGTTTATTTAGCTCTGAATTAGTTTTTGCAAGACAAACATTAGACTTCAGCATTGGACAATAGTACTTATTTCAGTTTAATTGATGATTAATTTCCCCGTATTTTTTTGCTATTCATGAGCGAGCAAGAGGACTATGATTGTTAATGATCTTTATTTACCATCTCCAAATGTAAGTATGTTTTGCATATACATTGGAAAAAATGGTCAATCAGCAGCCTTAATTGCCGAGGATACAATCCAGCTGTGATCTCTGCTTGAGCAGATGGATAACTGGGAAGGGATGCATCTGTAATTTCTCCACTGTATATTTCTAATTTAAAAAAATGTCTTCCCACCTTTGCACCTGTTATTATTAAAATCGTGGACTTTCATTTCGATTCGGTGAACATTCAGTTCAAATTATCTTCACCAACCTGACAATGCATGAAATATTTATGCAATAGGTTGAGTGTAATAATTCGCCCACACAATGCATAATGTTTGGGACATTTTTACCTTCATGTGCCTAATGCAATTCAAAGAGACAGGACATCGTACACTATAGACCTCTTTCAAGGAATAGCACTGCAATGTGTAGACAAATTCAAGCCACTTACGCAGTGGCTCCAAATGGTAGGAAACGTCTAACATTGGTGCAGTTACATACTTATTTTTTGCGCTGTCAACTTTTTCCAGAAGCGGTGAGTGCCTAATTCTCACAGCTCTGGCATGATCCAGCTTTAAACTCGGTTCTGGTCTAATTAAAACTGGTCATGAAAATGTGAGATGGTTGTGCTATGAATATAATTGTTAAGTGTTACAGGAATGTGAAATTTACACAACTGGTTCAAGGCCACGAATGGAGATGAGCATTGTTCAATGGCACTTTTAATGTGTCGACCTGTAATTTCTTGTTTATGCCCCTAATGGTGGAACGGCCTCTGCCTGAGGAAGCCCCTACTCATCCATGCTGGTGCCACGGTGGTGAGATGTTAACTACCTCGCCTGGTATACAGGGGGTTCGATCCCGACTCTGACACCTGTATATTTGAAGTTTGCATGTTCTCCCCGTGGTTGTGTGGACTTTTCTCTGGGTCCTCTGCTTTTTGCCTTCACATTTAGAAACAAGCATTGAGAGTATATTCTTGGGTCTTTCGGTAAAGTCACGAAGGTAGGTTCAAAGAAAATAATCAAAAATAACAGAAAACTACGAATTTTAGATCGCAACGGAAGCGGTCGTCTTCAGGAAAAGGATTGAAGTCGTAGTTTTCTGTTATTTTTATTATTATTTTATTTGAACCTATCTACGCGACTTTACCGAAAGACCCAAGAACATGAGTTCCTGCGGTCACGAAAGCTTTAAGTCAAGATTTAAGCATTGAGAGTATTTGTCTGCTGTAAATGTCTATATGATAAGCAAGCCACTTCGTTGGGCTATCATTTGTGGCCAGGTCGCTTCTGAAAAAATAGCTATATACCTATATACCTGGTAAAATAAAAATTAACCCGTAAAAACAAAGTTTTTCACTATAAATCCTTTATATGCGTGGCATCGGTTTTATTTTATTATTCATTTCTGTTTTTCTTGAGTAAGAGTTTCATTTTTATCACATTGGTATTTTAAATTAAATATAAAAAACACTTTTTCCTAAAAAGTGTAAAATTTTTGATTTTTTTTTCACGAAAATAAATTGTCACGCACAACGAGTCTGTGTGTAAAATGTCAGCTCGATTGGATCACGGGAAGTGGGTTAAAAAACGACCGAAAGATTTGCACGGTCGTAAGCGCGCAAGCAAGCAAGCAAGTGAACTTAATATAAAGAATTAAAAAAATAGCTTAGTTTATAGTTGAATAAATAGGCACGCTTTATCTTGAGCCGTGGTTCCAAAACTACTCTTCTACGCTGGCCAGACGTCTTGAAAGAGGTGGAATGACCCACACTTTACCTCACTGCACGCAACTTTCCAATCAGCTGAAACTGTGGTGTACCCATTTAAACTCCTGGGTGCAGCAGAGGCAGGGGATTTGAGAAACCTGCCCCATTGTTTCAAATGCAGCACTGGGAGATATACAGTATCTGTCGATCTGTGTGTGGGTGGCAAGTTTCGTGTGATTACCATTACACCAAGGTTGGCAGGATAAAAAAAGAAAAGTAATATTGACAGCTTTATTCTTACAAAATAGTCCTGGCTTGTGCTGAAACAACTTCCCCGTATAATTACTGTTCATGTACTTTTTTTCAGGGAGCAAGGATTAATGGAGGGCATGAGGGTCACGTAAATTTGGAATTTGAATAGTCTGTGAAATATTGGAAATGGCTGTAGAAATACGTTAAAACTCGGTGCTTCCTTTATTACCTTTTCGAAAATGCCAAAAAAATAAACTCAGAATAATTTTCTTTCCCCTGCACCTCGGACATGAATTTAACAAAATAAATAAATAGACATGCCAAGACCGTAGCTCTCGCAGTGAGTAAGTGTGATAAGCAGCGCTAAGCCTGAATATATTTTCGCGTGCGTTTCTTCATCTTAGTCAATAGCGGCGCATAAATGAATACCCCTCCCCTCTCCCACACCACATTTAGTATCAACATGCTGTTCAGAGTATTTGGGCGCTATACATTTCCAAGTGATAAACCACTTCTTTGGGCTATAATAATTTGTGGCCAGGTCGCATCTGAAAAAAAGAGCTATTTCGGCTCAAGTGGGCCTTACCTGGTTAAAAAAAAAACAACAACAACAAAAAATCCGTTACAGCGTTCGTTGAGAATAAACAATTGGACACGATGCTTACGCTCGTTGGAGGTCTGGAAGTGGAAGGGCCTGCTGTACTGCCCGTACCCTGCCGTCGTCCGTGTGCGCACTTGGAAGGTGTAGATTGTCGAGGGCTTCAGACCGTTAATGGTGATGGTGTTCCACTTGGACTTCACCGTGGTGTAGCTTATCTCCGTTTGCTCCTGGAGGCAAATTTGGAGAGAAAGTGGTTTGGTTGCGTTAGAACGTTCCGCAGATGGGTCATTTGTTTTTCTTGCTTTGCTCACCAGATGTGTGTGTTCAACGAGGAACGATCGCTCGGAGTCACGTAGAAGGGAAATAATAAAATGAAAAAAAATATATAAAACTATATTTCACGTAGAAGGGAAAAGGGAAAAAAATAATTAAACTATATTTATTATTTTATCATTTCCCTTCTACGTGACTTTACCGAAAGAACCAAGAATATGAATTCCTGCAGTCACGAAAGCTTTGAAACAAATTTTAAAAGATCACTCAGAGATTAATACGAACAGAAACTGAAAGAGGTCCTGTGAGTTGATCATAGGCGTCTTTGAAAACTCAACACTGCCCTAAAAATAAACAATATGTAATCGGTAACGTTTTTTTCTAAATGGCTCTGTATCCAAAGCAGAAGGAAAATATATGAATTGTATCATAGAGAAAATATCGAAAAAATACACACAGAGCAACACATCATAAAATGGCGCTATTCATTGCAGAGAAACAGAGCCATAGCCGGAAACATTGCGTAGACATTTTCCTCTTCAGGGTACCGATATTGATGCATGCGATTTTTGTTGTTCATAGTTTAGTTATGCACCAACTGCCGACGCAGTATTCCATTATTTAGTTTAAGCTTGTTTGAGTGGCCTGTATGAATAATATAAGCTACTGGATACACACTTTCCCGGTGGACGTATAGAACATGTAAATAAACATCAAGCTCAAATATTATACAGGTAGGCTTTCACGACCCATATTATAATTCATAATCGGTTTCTTTAGGGTTAGCTCGTCGTGTAAAAACAATGTGTTGTAAACCGTCCAGCATGTAAATGTCGTGAGCTCGCTCTCCGAAAACACCCGCCAGCGACGCTGCTGAAGCAGTGATACGTCTGGCCACGTTTAATTTACGTGACACTTTTTTTTTAATTGGCTGTCGGGTGGAGGAGGGTTTACAACACACATTACTATTACTACACTACCTCACTGAAGATAAACCAATTATGAAGCATAAAACTCAAGACGACCCATGTTCCCACCTGTGCCTGATATTATAATCGAGCTCTGTTTTAATTCTGGTCTCAACTGGCTTTGCCTTTCCCTGGTGGCATTTGTTTTGTATGATTACCAATGTCAAACAGGAAGAGAAGAGGATATTTGTATGCATACGTTTGGGTTAAAAGTAAATATACTTTTTTATCATCTTATGAACAAATATAATCTGTGGATTATTTTCATGCACGGCGAGATCAAGCTTAGAAAATTAAAGTGGAAATAAGTTTTGCCTGATTTATTTTAACACTGTATATCTTATTTCTTCCGCATCTTTTTGCATTACGTAGAATTCTCTATGGAAAACTGCGTGCTCCGTGGCTTTGAGGTCATTGTTGCTATTGAGTTAATATATTGATAAAAGAAATAACATTGAAAATTTCATTTTTTTTATATAACAAATGCTGCTAAAACGTTGCATGGGGAATTGTGATCCTGTGTAACTGTGTTTAGTGTGTAATGCAAAGTATTTTAAGCATCATGGGACCTCCTTTGATCACAAGTATTGTGGTTAATGCAGACATGATTCCTCGTAAGAAGGTTTCAGTTTTGTTGCCAGAAAAAATGGGAAAAACCCTATTCTTGTATTTTAAGCAGTTTGAAACTAAGTATAATCCAATAGAAACATGAAACAGGATTTTCCCAAGCTGTACCATTTTAATATGTAACTTCCTTGTTAATATGCTGTATGTGAATTTATATTTACAAATATATGCTAAGTAAAATTAAAAAAAATATATAAACATTTAAATTTACATTTCAAGCGCATTTCTGCATGCACATCATATAAGTCTCTGTGCCTTGTTTGTGTGTGTAACTATATATCTGAGCAGTGTTCTCCACCAGTCTATATGGAGAGCGCATGGTACTACGAACCCAGCGACCCGAGTTCACTTCCTGCTCATGGTGACGAATTCATTAACCTGTCCCGGGCCCTCCCTAGGTCGGCTACCTGGTCCGGTGCCTAAACATAAGCATTGGGGAAACAAAGGTGGCCAGGAGTTGCACTTGCATCCCACCTCCTCATGTGCCATGCCAGTCTTCATAGGTTATCGCTAACAACACTTGCCCCAACAGTCTGTTCAAGCTATATTGGGCGATCTTTGTCTTTAAAACATAAGCATTGGGGAGACAAAGGTGGTCAGGAGTTGCACTTGTATCCCACCTCCTCATGTGCCATGCCAGCCTTCATAGGTTATCGCTAACAACACTTGCCCCAACAGTCTGTTCAAGCTATATTTGGCGATCTTTGTCTTTATTTGTCTTTGTGTTTCCGACAGGACCCATGCCCATCATTTACGGCGTGCATAAAATACGATTGCTCGTCCATTATAGTTGATTATGGTTGTCCTCCCACCAAAGGCAACAGCGAAGGATGAGGAGTCATCCTTGTCTGCTCGATTGTGTTCCCCTGATACGGCTGGAATTGTTCTTGGCAACATCAGCCAATGTTCTTCAGCAATCTTGATGGCGTTTGAAAAGGTGGTACACAGAGACACAATATCTCGGTTGGGTCAAAGGGTCAACGTTCAAGGTCACCGTGGTCCCAATGGCATCATTATTTTGGTCTGTCAGTCTGTGTAAGCCTTGACATAACCTTTTTTGGCTTGATATAAAACAGATATTATAGCTCTGTTGAACTTTTCGTTGTTATTATTATTATTATTGGGTAACAGAAAAGTATAATGCGACTGAAACTTTAGCTTAAGTAAGCATAATATGAAAACAATTGTACCCAAATTGACGTAATGATCAACGTTGCCAACACAAAAGGGCATTTGAAAAGGATATTGTACTTTAAATATATAACATCAACGTAATGCAATGATCAACCTGCTCTAATGATCAACATTCTTATCACAACAACCTTTGGCCATCAGAGAGGGTCACGATGGCAGTGAAGAATCAATTATTTTCTTATTTAATCTCATATTAACTGTCTCATTTCCACTGTTCCTCAGTTTGTTTACCTCATGTGTACAGTTGTGGATTGTCCATGAGTCTAAATGCGTCATTAGCATCTGATATTTTGTATGCAAAGGTACAGCCCTGCAATGTATTGCTCATGCCACCGCTGGCAGAAGGACCTCCCTCTAGAGGGTAAGAAGCAATTTGATGTACTCTTCCACATAGGTGAAAGTACCCACAGTTTATCCCATCACATTCGACATGCTTTGCTTGATCGACGAACTCCGCTGTACCCATTCATCCGCAGCGGAGTGAGAATGGCTTACGGCAGTAACACCGCATATCCCGCAGGCTCGAGAATACCGTATAAGCTAAATTACCCATTATCTTATCTTAACGTAATTCATAAGCGCCTTGACCAAGGCGCTATATGAATGACCAAGACGTTTCGCAAAGAATTAACAACGGTACATGTGAATGTTATGGTCGAGATGAGGTGAATAAAAGAGATGAGAGAAAGTAATGGGTGAATCTGCGATGCATGAATTAGGTAAATTGATGGGAGCAAATGATGATGAATGGATTGGATGGATGAGTGGTAGCGATGGAGAGAGATTGTGAAGATGCAGCAGGGACGGTAGTGGTTATGAGAGGGGAGATTAAGAGGTCGTGGGGTGAGCTATGAAACAAAAAGTGAGTTTTTGATGGAGGAGTGGAGACTAGTCAGTAAAGATGACTGCTTAATGTACGTGTACGTCATTAGCTTTTCTTCTGATTTCATTCCGATTGTGTCACCGGAACGGAATCGGAAGGAAAAACTAACATAAAATAACTTCATCGTGAGGTCTTCATGTCAGAAGATGTACTGAGGCTCCCACAAGGCCATGCGGGAGGGTGTGTGGCACGGTTTGGCACCAGCTATCGCATAGTGCGGTCGTGTCGCTACGGTTCTCTGCGGTGAGTACAACGGCGCTTTGCCTCTCTAAAGCAAATGAATGCTAACCGCTTGCGCGGGTTCAGAGATTCAGCGGTGAACAGGACACCTAGCCTGCAACTTGCAGACATCTCGGAACAGGATAGGGGTCATGTGGAGGGGAAGTTTGTTCCAGTGAAGGGGGGCGAGAAGAGAGAGAGAGCGAAAGCGTGATGGAGCACACGGAGGAGGCGAAACAGAGAGAGACAACAAAGATTAAGAACGTAGAGGACGAGGAAGGATGCAAGTTGCTATGTAAACAACTTAATAGAGTTATGTCACCATTAACATCGAGCTTCAACGGGGGTTCACCTTGAGGAAAGTGGGGATTAAAACGAATTTGGACTTCAATAATATGATTTGCTACGACATGGGTGACCTACTTGCACATTAATAACAAACAACGAAAGAACACCTCAAAACACTCAGGGAGGACCCAATTCGTGAACCGTGCAAGAAAATGTCTCGGCAGAAAGTTCGCCCAGAGGAGATGATTCACGGAGTCGCTTTCAAGGATGCGTCGGACGGCTCACGTTTGCTCGACAAATTGTCCGACCATTCAGGGGTGTGCAGCCACGCTTTGGAAGTTTTACGGGGGGCGGGGGGGAGGCAGTCCTATTCAGGGACGTGCTGTCAATGAAAATATCTGTTACGAAAAGTTAAAAATAATAAAATAAAAAGTAATATTTTTCCACTGATCTGTGATATGTCATTTCTGTACGATTTCAATCGTTTTCATGGTCAAAATTGCCAAATTTGCGGAGCTCCGCTGCAAATGCAGGGAGAGGCGAGAGGTGAGGCAGCGACGCGTTCAGCCTCCCCTCTGATTGCGTAACCCCTCAGACACTGAATGGAGCGCGGCCAATAAGCGCGTGCCTGTTACTATCTCTCTGTAAGGATTGTAATCATACAGAAATGACATTTTATAACACAGATCAGTGGAAAAATATATATATTTTTAACTTTTCGTAACAGCTATTTTCATTGGAGTATGACAGGTGGGCTCTGCCTCCCTTGACCGCA